GATCCTGCAGTAGTGTTTGGCAGTCAGAGCAGGCCACAGAAGTGAGAGCAGGTCCTCCTGACAGAAATCAGTTACAGATGTTCATACGTGTTAGGATCTGTCCTGAGCACTGGTCATGTGGGAATGATTTGTTAACTTGATTCCACCTTGTGACAGAAAGTCTGGTTTGCACAGGGAAAGCCTGTACTGCCTATGAATTGAACGCGTAAGGACGTGTGATGGACAGTTTCCGTGCCAGAAGTTGCTACAAGCAGACATTTCTGTTTAAATTAAAGTGGCATTGTGATCAATGCTTCCAGCTAAGGGGGTTATGTTTTTGCATTTGGATTATTTCAGCGTTAGAGAAGGAATATTTCATGCCAACAACCTACCATAGAAATCCATACAAATCATCTGTCCAGTGATTGATGGGACAGCTTTTATGGGGAAGTCTCAGGTTAATGTCTATGTGCATGTCGGTGTTTGAGCATCCACATCTGTGCACTAAGCGGGTGGAAAGGTAATAACCTCTCGCTGTGAGAGTGGTGAGTTTTTAAACTTGAGAAACGGAGAACTTTTCTGGCCTTGCTGGATTAGGGCCAATCCAAACACAACTCTGACATATCTGTGAGGTGTTCGCCTGTGTGTCAGTCAGACTTTGCTACTCCATCAAGTTTATAATGCTCCAGCTCCTGCCTCAGAAACACAAACCAACCTTTGTCACCTCTGGACCTTTGCTGGTCCACAGCTGTGAGGGAGCGATGCATAGCAGTTTGTCTCATGTGTGAATGAGGGAGGAATTAAATCAGTGAAGACATGGGATCTGGAAAACTAAAATTTCAGTGTAAAGCATTTATAAAACATCAAAATGATGATAGTAATCGTAGCTACAGTGATACTAGTAATGACAAAAACATGTGTCTACTCTCCTGTGAAGAACTTTTTTGTGTGTAATGATGAGTAATGTAAAGGAATGAATTGTGTGCTGGTCAAATGCATCCTGTGGGAGAGAATCCTGCAAATCTGTTGACATTAAACCAACACATTGTGTTTCAACAACATACACCCACAGTGCAGTAAATAAAATAAATACTGGGGCGAGCATGATAAGGCTGATTGCTGTATTCATTCTAAAGTTGTGCTACTGACTTCCCTTTTAGTCCACATTAGTCAGATGGACTGCTCTTCTCACACAGGCTGTATTTTGCTAACACAAACTATAGGTTGGTGAATTCTAGTCATGGACAGAAAGTGTTTGTAAATGTCTGACATATGGTCGTAACACTTTACTTTAACCCACTGTTTAGTATTTAAAAGCATGTTTATCCTTGTGTAATAAATGGTTTATAGCACACTATAATGTAGTTGTGATCAGATATAAGGCCATTTTGAGTTAGAACTGTTTTTAATTGTTCATGGATTCTAAAAATCAAAATAAATAAATAAATAGAATCTGGTCTTTCAGATTCAAAGATATCCTAAACTCCTATTATTGTTTTTACAGTAGTACAGAGTCCTCCTAGACTCAGCTGAGGCAAAAAAAAGACCCACCTCTCTACTTTTGGTTTATAGACTGCACATGAATTTACAAAACGCTACTTTTTGCAAAGTCATTTGCAAATCTCTACGCATGGTTTACAAGTCTGTGCAGTGGGATTAAGAACACGAGAGCTTGGTTTACACCCTGACATTACAGATTTAGGCATGGCTCTCCAAGCGTTATATGGGTTGCAATAAGTCACTTTCCTGTTCTCCAGTGAAGCAACGTGTAAAAAAAAAGTGTCATCCTTTTCCCGGAAAGCTCCAAAGTGTCTACTTAGAGATGAAGCGGGTGTTTTAGAAAAAGGCCTCTTTTGGCCCATTCTGTTTGTAAGTCTTAGTGACTGTATATGGTATTGGCCATTGTGAAAACTAAACTGTTACATCTTGTGTCCCATTATGATCCCTGTTGGTGGGCTCCTCTGAAGAGCTGACGATACTGGAACCAAAAAAAAAAAGGGACCAAGCTGAAGTGGCCCTTTTTAGTATTAACCTTATATATGACCGAGATGATCGTGAAGCTAGGTGTTGTTGAGATTTACATTTTATGATATATCACATCAATGTAAGGGTTGAACAGAATAAAGTCCATGAGTGCATAGTTGAGGTTTGTTTCTTAATCAGTGTCTTTGGACTTTGGATTTTCAGTATTGAAAACCTGACATCTGCTGCTTTAAGTGCTACAGAAAGGCCCTTAAAAGCAATAACTTCTGGAATTTGTACAATTTCTGTTTAAAGGACAAATAGTTTGATGCCCTTTTCTTCGTCTCTTTGCAATTTCAAAGTACATACGTGGAAACGTGGGCTCGACTGTGCTTATGTAAGTTTGATGGTGACAATGGAATCAGCAGCATCTCCAGTGTAAACCTTTTCTTTTTTTTATTGCTGCAAGTTTCATAACTATCATCCTACTCAACAGTAATTAGTATAGAAACATTTAGATCACTCCATTTTCTGGCTGTGAAGCACAAATTATTTCTTGAGTCTTGGTTTTCCTAACGCTTTCCTTTCCTAATGTTAATGTTTTTACAGTAGAATGTTTGTTCTGCAGTTTTCATATCTCATTCGAGAAGCGGTGCAGTGTTTGTATTAACTGGGTAAAGCAGTAATGGCTGTGGGCACATGTTTATAGTCAGTGGGTTGGACATTTATTGCTTGTTGACAGTGAAAATGGCAACCTTATGTAACAATCTAGAATAGTTGGATCATCAGTTCATCTTTTGAAAAAGTGAATTTACCAAAGTAAAGCTAAATGTGTTGGTCAAAAGTACATGTGGTGATATGACAAAGGAAAATACTCAGTTTGTCTCCCTCATAACGGTAGTAATAAGGACTCACTGCTACTGGATAGGCGGTAATTTCTTTACGACACTCCTTTTTAAAGTATTGTGGTCTGTATCTTTTATGGCTTGATATACTCTCCCAAAGAGTAATCACAGGTACTCAAAAATATGTGTTAGAAACAAACAAACAAACAAATACTTCATATTTATTTGTATCACACTAATTGAGCTTAAATTTCTGAAGTTTTTTGGCTCAGATTTTTAGTTCTTTTTCCTCCTGTGAGGGAAATGGCAAACCTTTGTGAAATCCCATTTCAGAGTTCAGCTGCATTCACACTGCAGTTCTTTGTATGTGTTGGCTGGAGTACTGCCAGACTCTCATACAGACCTAAGGTGGTAAAAAAAAAAGTTGATAGTAGCTGCTAATGGTGCAGCTGCAAAGTGTTCATTGTTCGAAAAAAGTAAAATTTAAGATCGGCCTTCACTGGCGGTGATTTAGAATTGTTAACACAAGTCGACTTAAGAGGTTTTAAGAGCAATGAATGAATGATGTTCTTCCGCCATATTTCTTCAGTGCTGACAATTACATCTGTTTCTGCACATTTAACCTTTAAAATTGTCTAGATTGTGAATCTAATTTCTTGCTCTGTATCAGCCAGGAGGAGTTATGCAGTTAGTGACTTGGCACAGGCTGCTATGGTCTTACATAAGGGCCTCAGCTTTGGGAAATTACCCCACCGCTGCAGGCCAGGGGACAGATTTATTATTACTTCATTAAAGGCTTTGGGTTTTGAATTGATTGCTGTAGTTGCACACTGGATTGTAGATTATACACTTTGGCATCCTCGTTCCAAAATGACCATTTTATCTGCAATGGAGAACCTCTAACGAATTCTAAATGCATTTGTCATCATGTCCGATGCCATGGAGCCTCAGTAAACCTGAGAACTAAACAAGATTAAACAGCGATAAGGGTCAGTATGATGAATGAGGGGTGTTTTCTGGGGCATCTGTCAGCCTCTACAATTAGATAAAGAATTGTCTGTAGATTGAGGTGGTCCAGTGGATCTGTGAGCGTCAGTAGTCAGGACATGGGCAAGTAATTGTTTATTTAATCTCTTTTTACAAGAGCGAAAGGTACAGTGACAACAGATGAGACAAACAAGCTCAATTTAGGCACGTTTAGTACTTTAATATATATGAAAATGATGACAAAAAGCAGAAATTGTGCTGATTTTTTTCTTGATTACTATTAAATAAATGAAAAGGAAGTTATTTTTTAGATTATTAGATGGTAAAAAGAATTAACTTGCTATCAAGGTTTTTGCTATTTTGTTTATCTATTGTTAAAAGAAAATGATTTCGGCCTGTCTTTGTTTTTGAGTTTAGGATTCGTGTTATCCGGTAAATGTTTAAACTTTCTTGGTAAAACATGTGCATTGGAGACCTGGCCTGTAGTTTTTGGCAGCGAAGATCGCACTATCGGTTGATTTAAGATTAATGGCCTAAAACAGAACAGAGCGATGGAGAGAGAGTTAGAGACGGCGATAAGGGTGGTAGTCAGGGAGTCGAATTAATTCTGGGGAAACCTGAGTAAATATGGACAGACACATCTGATGAAAGCCACTGTAAATCAGAAAGAGTAAAGTAAGCAGGATAAGACAAACCAAGTTTGAGAAGGTCTGGAGTCAGAGCTCAGGGAGAGAAAAGTGAGACAGAGGGAGAGAGAACAGGAGGCTGAGGAGGAGGAGGGAGGCTGAGAGAGAAACAGAGGGGAGCAGAGAGGCAGGCTTTGCCTTTTCTGGTAGTTAAAGTCGCTGAAAGAACAAGCAGGAATTCTTTGTGCTGCAGAAGGGCTGAGATATAAACCAGACTGTAGACGCTGATATATGACAGGAGACGACACACTGTTGCCCATGGACTAAACTTTAGCTACTGCTAAGGTATTGTAAACCAGCAGGCACTGTAGATTTTTTTTTTTTTTTTACATATGTCACAAAGCTGTCTTGGGTGGTCCACTTGTGTGATGTGTTTCTACTGATCGAATGATTATGAGTTGCTTTTAAAATTTTATTTATCATGTTTTCACTGTAATGATGAGGGTTTGTTACTTCACAAGCTGTAAAATTCCCTCAGTGATGACATGAGATTTTGACTGTGTGCTGCATTGAGGGCTGCTATCATGTTTGTGTCTTGCAGTGAGAAAGTGAGGGGAATCTTTTTGGGCATCATGGACGATGACTTTGACCGCCGCATGGAGCAGAGGAGGCAGAGGAGAGAGCAGATGCGCCTCGAAGCTGAAAAGTGAGTAATCTCTCTACAAATATGTAAATATCTGTGCAAAAGAGCTCATGCATACACACAAACACACAGACATGGACATGCATAGTAAATCCCAAGGGAAATTCAGGCTGAAAAAAGGTAAATACAAACACTATCAAAGGACAGAGGACATCTTGCACAACATCATCCTAAGTCATTAGTCTTTGACTCATAAAAAAGCTGATCAATTTTATATTTGATCATCAGGGGCTCACATTCTCCCACTTTTATAAACCACATCTGCAGTTGTTGCTGAAGTTATTACACAGCTTCTGCTCTCACGGCTCACGTCCCATCTATCCTGTGTAGTGTGGAAACACTTTAAAAGCTCCTGATGACAAACTTTATGATCATGCAGTGAACCATGGAAGTTCAAGACTCTCAAAATGTTTGTCTTCAGATCTTTTTTTCTGTGTGTCCTCTAATCACTCATGCAGTCTTACAGACAGATGCTGGGCGATCCAGGCTTTCTGTGCGTGTACATATGTTGTTTGATTTAGCTTCCTGTGAGGAAGTTGTGTGTCTCCACGCGGAGCAGCAGAGTGGAGCAGACAGAACTTGGATGGTTCTCTGGTGATGACGGCTTAATGATCTCCTCTGCCTTTTTCTCTCATTAGGGAGTCAGTCAGCTGTGCTGCTGTTTGGATTTATCTCTCACCCTCTGTCGTCTCCCTCTCTCTTTTTGCTCGGATAAATGTAACACTGTTAAAGAGGTGGTGCTGGAGTGCACTCCTGTAGTGTGGAGTGGTGGGATTAATTATATCTTAACATACGATGAGCAGTGATGTACAACTTTGAAGGAATGAAGAAAATTCAGATTGGGATGACTTTCACAGCAGCCCACGTGACACAACTTACTTGTCAAAATGATACAATACGATACGATACGATATACTCTATTGTCCCCTCAACAAAATGTTTCTTAGAGTAGTGACAGAGACATGTCATAGTCAACCACATACTAGTGTACATATGCACCCACATTCAAGTGCCTTTAGTAAAATCCAACACAACATATTGCAGTTTAACAGGATATTGCACAGCTTATTCTTGAAATATTGCATGATACAGTTAGATAATTTACTGTACAATTTAATATTGCACATCTTTAACCACTTTGCACAAATTAAAACAACATATTGCCTGACTGGTAGAGATCTGAGCACAATTCAGTTTGTTACAGGGGCAGTCACATTAAATAACTTCTGCATATGATTAGTTAGTGATCATATAGAGTAAAAATGAAGTGATTAGCACAGTTAGCACTGCAGTTTTATTTAGATTAGAGCCACTAAAAAAATAACACTGAGATGAATGCATTTTACTTTTTTAAACAACATGATGATGATGACCACCTATTTGAGAGATCAATGCAATCAATCATGGCTCCACAAGTCCAGTACTGTCATATCAGATGTGCTATCAGAGCCACAGCAAACAGAGCGTTCCTTGCAATTTTCTCACAGTTGTTGCAGCCAACCCGACCAGCCGTGCCAACCCAGCCTGCCCTGCCTTTTTCTGCCTCCCGGCTCCTCTCTAAACGCTGCAGACACTGGAATGTTTTCACTGTCATTTTTGTTTCAGCGCGTGATCGCCTGCTCTGAAACCTTCAAACTGTGACGGAGTTTCTTTCCTGCATTTCACTCAATGCTCCTGATAGCTGAATACCTCTCATCACGTTTCCCTCCATGTATTAAGCTTCACGTCCCCCAGATTGTAGCTGTAACACTCTGTCAGCAGGCCTCTAGCTCTGAGTTGAGTAATATCTGATCGAATTTCTTCCTTCGTGATTTCTTGGGGTGACCCATGATATTTGGATGAACCTTCACCTGCAGATTTATTGGATTTCCACCTCGTTTGGGCCTTTGTTTCTGGTTTAAAGACAGAATGGATTCTTGTGGTTCCCATCCACCTCTTCCTCGAACAACATCTGTGAATCATTGCGCTGCGGTTTCAGGAAGAGCAGAGGAAATAATACCAGTGTGCTATCGATGGACCATTTCAAGCTTTCTCCCTGCCTCATAAAGCCTGGTGTTGCTTGGAAAGATACTGCCAGGCAGGCTCAGAAATCTCTGACTGTGAATACACTCACAGTTGGATGAAGGTCAGTGACAGGATGTGAGAGAGATGAGGATGATGGAAGAAAGACAGCGGGGCAAGGAATATTTCATCATGTGTTCATGTCTTTTTTCTTCTCTCTATCTCTGTCTTCCACTTTTTCTCCTTTTTTCCAACGATGTGGCCTCTGTTTAACGATTAAGTACCAAGGGTGGGAATTAATTTGCAGTTCTCTCATCTCTGTCAATGTGACATTTTTATGTGTGCTTATAATGTTTTTTAGTCTATTTTCCCACAGTTATGGCATCTCCCATGTCTGTCATGTCTTCTGAGGTCAGCTTAAGATGGTCCGGCCTATTTAAATAGCACCAAGCCATTGTATTGGGATTCCTTAAGCTGTCTAAAAAATTGTGACAAATCACCAGATATATATATTTTTTGCAGTAAATACTGTGCATCTGTTTGATTTGTGTGGGGTTTTTTTGGCGTTTTTTTCCCCCTTCGGGAATTGCTTTTTTTTTTGGGCTTTTAACCCAAAAAAAAATAAAAAATTGGAGAGAAAAATTCACTCTTTGGCTCTTCGGCTGAGGTAACATTGTCTTGTGCAACAGGATATTGGTACAGACAGACTTGCCAAAGCTACTTTGCAACTTCTTTAAATAGCTGGTTTTGGTTTTGGTTTACAAGCATAGACAATTTTGTGGTGATATCAAAATGTGTTGCTGTAAATAAAAATGCAGCTAAGAAGTTTCATTTGCCACTCAAGGATGTATTTTACAAAATTCTTGTTACCTCAAATGTACCATCACAACTAAGCAACCTCAATAATTGCATCTCTTTGTGATCATCCAGGTCATAAAATTAATGTAAAATGAAATCTAGGTTGAAGTAGGTAAAGCATTTTTTTCATCTGCGTCAGCATGTGATTCTTTTCTGAACACACTGTGTTTTAGCACATAAATCTGTCTGTGTGCTGCTTCAGGGGGGGCTTCACCAATGAAGATGATGAGGAGGAAGCTCGGGAGCGAAGGAGGCGTGCGAGAGAGGAGAGGAAGAAGATGAGAGATGCAGAGGAACCTGGAACCACCGATGTGATCGATACGAACAGGTACAATGTAGAAGTGGTCTAGTAGTCTGCAGAGAATTAAGAGAGTAACGTCAGGAAAACAACTGCAAAGGAGATTCACAAGGAAGCTGACAGAGAAACAGAAACCCTCTACCTGTGATTTCAGTCTTTCCATTAGTAGAGCTGCTCCTTAAGATTTGAGGCCTGACGATGTTTGTTGTAAAGAAGAGCGATGATGAGCACGTTTTGCCGGTAAACTGTGTTCATTAACAGTAGTACAGCATTTGTTTGATTTTTCCCTGTTGCCTGCAGGATGTATATTACTGGTTGTTGACTGAAAGTAAGTCGTGTTTGCAGCCATGTCAGCAGCTGCAAAAGTATTGCTAGTTAGCTACACTACACCAGGCCTTCATTAAGTAATACAATTATTTTTTCGCTGTGTTCAGAACACCACTGACTGTACTACTGAAAAATAGAGTTATTGAGTAAAGGCACATAAATACAAAATCACAATTACCATGAAGCTATACATATACTATTTATAACTATTGTGTTTTTGAAATTACAATTAGTATTGTTGGGGTTGTGTCCATAACTTTTGACTCCTACATTGAGGAAATCTGTGGCTTTGGGATCATTTTGTCAGCATGGTTTGGGTCCACTTATCTCCTTAGGAAAAAAGGGTCACTGCAGATCAGTGCAAAGTTGTTCTGAATGGTCACCTTCATCATTTGATTAAATATTTCAATCCCGATAGGAGTGGTCTCTTCCAGGCCCAATGCCCCCATCTAGAAGGCTGAAGGAGTCATTGAATGGTTTGAGGAAAATGCTGTGAATCATATACTGTGTCCTTCTATGAACGTCTAAAACATCCAACAGTCAAAACCACGTTCTCAAGAAACCTGCATTTACAGGTTGCTTTTGTAGATGACCCTGCAATTGAAATCACACAGATAACATTAAACGTAGCAAAGAGGAAAGATAAATAACAATAATAAATCATTACAATACCATATTTCACCTCAAACCCTCCCCAATACAATATATAAATACAGTCTCAGCTTCCAGAATCAATGCAGCATTAATATACTCACATAAATGGACACAATCAATAAATGAAGCTGGGAATGTCTGCACTTTTTGAAACTTCTGTAAATGGTTGTCCTTCTCTTATCCACCTGTCTAAGAATAAACATGTTCAAAGAGTTCCTTTGTCCTAATCATAATTGATTGAACACATTTTGTTTTTCCTCAAGCTGTTGAGTCCAAGTTTTATTTAGGGAAAAAAAAAAGTTAGAATAAAAAAGCCCCACATCAGCACAAGGACGATTTTTAAAAAAAAGTTTGTTATTGATAATCCCCTCCAGTTTCAACATTTGGAGCTGCTTCCAGCGGTTGTGTGGTTCTTTGATTGATATTTTCTCTGGTTATCCACAGCAGAAAGATCCACAAAGAGACTTTTGGGTTCATCAGAAAAAAAAATAAACATTTGATTGTAGGATTTGGAGGTTTGGAGGTTTCAAATGTTCAAACAGCACTTCTTTATGACTAAAGCATGTTTAATGTTCTTTCAGTGTGACGGAGACCGAGTCCTCCACGGCCGGTACTGAAGGAGGAGATGATGACCAGGCTTTGCTGGAGCGCCTGGCCAGGAGGGAGGAGCGCCGGCAGAAGAGGATGAAGGACGCCATGGAGAGACAGAAAGACCTCGACCCCACAGCCGGCACCACCAACGGCACCGAGGAGGCGGAGGAGCAGTCGTCTATCGACGACAGCAGACAGGAACATGCAGGGGATGAGGAAGAAAAGAAGGAGGAGAAATGTGCCCAGGAAGAGGTGGCAGAGGCTGATACTAACTCCTGGAGGAAAGACGAAGAAGACAAGAAGGAGGATGAGAAGGTAAAGTTTCGAGGTCATTCTGAATAAAATCATGTACTTTCTGGAGACAAAAGGGTTTTATATTTTCATGTTTTTCCCTTTTGACAGGAATCCACTGAAGAATCGCCAACACCAACCACAAGGAATGAAGTACGGTCTTTTTTATTTTTCACTATTTTCATTTTGTTGATGGATGTGCATAAAAAATGACAGTGAATAAATAGAAGTTGTTTTTTTTAGGAGGAGACTGAGGAGAAAACTGCAGAAACGGAGGTGAAGGATGAACAGCCCAGTTCAGAAAACAAAGAAGAGGAAGCTGCTCTTGATGTTGACAACGAGGAAGAAGAAAGGAAGAGGAAAGAAGAAGAAGAACAACAGCAAAAAGAAATGGAAGAACAGCAGAGGATAGAGGAGGAAGAGAGGCAACGAAAAGAAAAGCTTAAAAAAGAGGAGGAAGAAAGGCAGCTAAGGGAGGAGGAGGAGAGGAGGAAGAGAGAGGAAGAGGAAAAACAACAAAAGGAAATGGAAGAAAGGCTTAAAGATGAGGACGAAGAAAAACAGAGAAAGGAGATGGAAGAAAAAATGAAAAAAGATGAGGAGGAACGACAGAAACAAGAGATGGAGGAGCGTCAGAAGAGACAAGAGGAGGAAAGGCAGAAACAAGAGATGGAAGAAAAACTGAAAAAGGAGGAGGAGGGAAAACGAAAAAAGGAGATGGAGGAAAAGAAGAAGAAAGAAGAGGAGGAAAAGCGAAAAAAGGAAATGGAAGAAAAGAAGAAAAAGGAGGAGGAAGAGAAGCGAAAGAAGAAAGAGCTGGAAGAGAAGAAGAAGAAGGAGGAGGAGGAGAAGAGGAAAAAGGAGGCTGAGGAGAAGAAGAAAAAAGAGGAAGAGGAAAAACGTAAAAAGAAAGAGCTGGAAGAGAAGAAGAAGAAAGAGGAGGTATTGATGTGATTTGTGGGTCAGCCGCTTCAAAAACACGGAAATCTGAAATGAAGGCTCAGTATTAATGTCCCCATTTGTAAAGTAACACAATACAGACACTTTAATGGAGCACCAGTCCGTAATCCTGAAGATTAAATGACACAGGGACCACATTTTATTTTTCCAGGCTTTGTTCTAGCTTGCAGATATTTGCTGTATGATATGGTTTTGTGGTGTGGTCACAGTGCAGTCTCACTGTGTTGCTCCCTTCACTTTACATCTGCTTTGCGGTCACTGCCAGGCCTTCTTACTCCAACTGCGTTTGATGGCTTTTTTGTGGGATGTTCAGCATTGTATGTTTCCACTGAGCATGCTGTTTCTGTTATTTAATTTATCTTTTTTTTTTTAATTTCTCCATCTCACTTTTCTCTTGTGTAAAGGAGGAGAAGCCGAAGAGATTTGGGTTTAAGGAGAAGGTAAAACTACACTGACCGTCATTCAGTATGCGTTATTACGTGTTCTTTTCTAATGTGTGAGATATAAGTAGAACTGTTTTCCCTCTTTTTGCAAGAACGAACCAGCCAAACAGAATGGCAGTCTCGCTGAGAATAAATTCAAGAAAATGGAAAAGACACCAAGGTAAATCCTGCCAGAATTCTCATCTCATCAGTTTCTAAATTACAACTTTCAAAAATGACTTTATTTTTCATGTTTGCATGCACTCGTATTAGTCGATATGTAAAGAAAGAACTTTGTAATTAATTTCAGTTCACTTCATTTCATTTAGGTTAATTTCATTTCAGTTCAGTTCAATTCAGTTCAGTTCAGTTCAGTTCAGTTCAGTTCAAGTAAGCTAAGTTCAATTTGGTTCAGTTTGGTTTGGTTTGGTTTGGTTTGGTTTGGTTTGGTTTGGTTAAGTTCAATTCAATTCAATTCAATTCAATTCAGTTCAATTCAATTCAATTCAATTTATTTTTAGTTTAAATCAGTTCAGTTTAGTTTAGTTTAGTTAATTTCAAGAGTATTGGTTCAGATTTAATCAATCAGGTTCAGTTCGATTCATATCAATTCAATTCAATTTAGTTTCTATACACCGCTGAATCTTCACTAGGGTCGCGGGGGGCTGGAGTCTATCCCAGCTGACTTAAGGCAAAGACGGGGGACACCCTGGACAGTTCACCAGTCTACTGCAGATGAACAGAGCCCAACAAGCACACTCACATTCACACCTATGGACAAATTTAGAATCACCTTTTTAACCAATTTTGGACTGTGGGAGGAAGCCAGAGAACCCAGAAAGAACCCACGCTGCACAGGGAGAACATGCAAACTCTACGCATAAAGATCCCAGGCATCCAAGCCGGGACACGAACCAGGGACCTTCTAGCTGTGAGGCAACAGTGCTAACCACTGACTCACCGTGCAGCTCAAATCATTCAAGTTCAGATCATTGAATTGAATGAAACTACCAATTCAGTGTTATATCTGCTTAGAATAAAACAAATAGAATCAAAGCTAAGCGTTACTTCTAGACTTGCAATGCCTATAATCATCTTCACATTTAATCAGTATGTTTTGACATCTGAGTTAAACAACTGTGCCCGTTTTGTGAGCAGAGACAACACCAAGGCCCAAGATGCGGAGCAACAGGAGGCCGAGCGTAAACTGCAAGAGCTCAAGCGGCGACGAAACAACGCAGAAAGCGAGGAGTTCGAGAAAATGAAGCAGAAACAGCAGGATGCAGAGGTTGAGCTGGAGGAGCTGAAGAGGAAGAGAGAGGAGAGGAGGAAGGTCCTGGAGGAGGAGGAGAAGCAGAGGAAACAGGAGCAGGAGGACAAGAAAGCCAAAGAGCAGGTGTGGACATTTAGGAATTAACTACCACTGAAATATTCCACACTGTGAAGTCTGTGTTCCTCTAAAAATGGAGGATGTGAAGCGTTGTTGTTCTTTAGTTGGATTTGGTTGTCTGAGAAATAAAGATTAACACTGAGAGAAGTTAGTTTGTAACTGATGACAGATATTTGACAGCAAACTGGGGTGTTTGTTGCAGGAGGAGAGGAAGAGGATGAAGGAGGAGATTGAGAAAAGGAGGGCTGAGGCTGCAGAGAAGAAGAAGCAGAAGGAGGAAGAGTCCACAACACCTGCTTTTGCTATCAGCCCTAAAGGCTCCTCTAAGGTGAGTTCAAACGTTCACACTTCTTAGATTTATTCTACAGGTCAAACAAACAAACAAAAAAAAGTACAGCGCAATTCAACAGTAACGTGCTTTCTCAATTACCTCATGTCTTGGTTTTATTTGCACTGATTTTGAGATTAGAAAGAGAAAGATGGACAGACAAGTTGCAGTTTTTCACTGCTTTGAACAGCATAAGCGTAATGGCTCCCTACATCTCTAGAGTGAGTCTAGCATCTCTAAGCAAAAATAATTAGTTTGTATGAACACACCCTTTAAAATGATCACAATTGAGCTTTTTAGTCTATAAAACATAGCCACTCTGCACTCTTTAGAATAAATGTTTCATAATCTTATTGAGAGTTCAGTCTCTTTTCCAAGAGAGTTTTTAGTCATCAAGAATGGCAAAGACTGATATTTTGAAGGTATTGAGCCAAAATGAAAATCAAAATTTAGAATTATACAAACTCCAACATAAAACTTAGTTGAAATGGTTTTATTTATGTTTGATATATGCTT